TAATGCAACGCGTGATTTGTACTAATTGCATATTATTTTATAATCGGAAGTATTAATGGATATTAAAAATTTAATACTAATAAATAATGGTATTAACAAATAAAATTTTATTAAAGAGGGCGGGATATTTCTAGAATTGAAAGAAATATTTAAATTTAAAGGATTTTATTTTTTTGTTGCATTATTTATGATTGCCACTGTATACCCTTAATATTATTGTAAATGCTAAGTTAGAAACTATATTAACTTATATTAAAAATTTAAGAAAATTAATAAATCAATTCGAAAATTAACTAAATTACTTGAAGAATTAGAAAATTTTGCAAAGTTAGATAATAAACAATTTCTTTATCTGATTATGGATTGTAAAACAAGATGGAATTCAACCTTTAAATGATTAATCATGCATGTAATTTGAAAGAAAATATACAAATGTTATTAGTTAAAAATCCTAAATTAAAAGATATTTTTCAAATAAATATAAATGGGAATTGTTTAAAGATTTAAACCAATTTTTATATCAATTTAATGAAGCAACAATTGAACTTTCATCACAAAAATATTTTACTGTTGCATATTCAAGAGTAATTTTATTAGCAATTAAAAAAGATTTAGAATAAATTAGAAGAAACTTCTCATATCTCAGCCTTTTTAGATCCTAGATATAAAAAATATTATTTTTCAGAAATGACAGCTTATGAAATACAATCACCAATTAGAAATCTATTAGAGCAACAAAGAAGTTAAAAGGAGCAAATTCTATTATTACAAACGTGGATGATGAAGCTAATAAATATTGGATTTCTGCTGAAGTTGAAGAAGATGTAAAACCTTTGGATTGGTGAAAAACTCATTCTACTGAATATCTTAATTTGTCAAAACTTGCATTTGTATATTTATGTATTCAAGCAAGTTCGGTTCCATGTGAACAACTTTTTTTCAATTGCTGGTCATGTTTTATGTAAATCGCGAAATCATATATCTGGAGATACTGTAAGAGCATGTTTATGTTTATATAGTTGGATTTCACAAAACATTATATAGATTTAATGAAATAAATTATTTTGTATTTAATATTTTAAAAGAATATATGTATTTATAAAAATTAAATAAAATATTTAAAATATTTAAAAAATTTAAAAAATTTCGCGATAATGCATGTCAAAATGATTAATGAAAATAAAATTAATTTTTAATTATCGTTTATTACAATTAAAAATAAAGTAAAAAATTATTGTTAAACAGTCGGTCAACCGGTCGGTTAAAATCGGTCAGTTAACCGGTCGGTCGGTCAAAGGCCGACCGACCGTGACAATAATTTGCGATGAATAATCATAGTGAAAAAATTCTAATAGTAAATTGAAAGACAGGGGTGTGACTCAGGTGACAAATATAGATTACGTGACACCGGTCATGATCACCGGTGATAAATATATATATAGAGTTAATATTTACGTGACTTCTAACGGGAGCCAGATTTTCTTCCCAAAAACATCACATTTGTGTAAATTTATCAACGAAAATGGCAACTTTGTATAATGATACTAGAGTTAGAAGATGTTCGACAAGTATTACCACAACTCAAAGGTGAGAATATAGAATAGATATATGTTTCTCTTTTTATAATTGGTTCTAAATCTCCAGATATTATTATAGTAACGACGAGATTGATGCTGTTTCAAAAGCTCTCGTCCGAATGCCTGATGAGGAATCCAATGAACTGAAAAAATTTCGAAAACTTTGGTGGGATCAAGGAAACCTTTATCCAAAGGCGGACTGAGATCATGCGAAGTAAGTAATGCCTGTATTTTTCTATTGAAGACAAACTAATTTTTTTTAATTAATTATATTAAGGCTCCCATACACCCTTGTTGAAGGAATGTCTTTGGAAGATTACGAACGTCGTGGAGACGTTTTTAATGTTCATGGCTACTGGGAATGGTTTGATGGCAAGGTCAAGGTCACTGAATGTCCGTCTAGACCACATGAAATTTGTATTAGCAAGATTGTTTGTCAATTAATGGATGCTTGCAGAGATGTAACGAATACCGATGCCGAGATCTATAATCTAGGATCAACTCGTAAGCATTAATTCATTAGCTTTCTTTTTATTATATCTATGATGTTAAACTAATCTTGAATATTTTAAAGGAACTCGTAGCAGTGATTCCGGAAAAGAAGCTGACGCATCATTTGGCCCCCAAAAAATTGCAGTAACTTCACCAAATGGGAGCGATGGAAACGTACTTTACTTTCTTCTTTGTTCTTTTATATTTTTGCAAATGCTGGTTTCATATTTAATTTTTTTGGTTTTAGGAATTACCTTGGCCAAATTTTGTTGTCGAGGTCGCATATTACCAAACAGAAGAAAATATAATGACTAAGGTGCAAAAATAAATACTGGCTATACAACGATCGCGTTCATGATGTGATTGTTGTTAAGATTGATCCAGTCAAGTTCCTTCGCGTTTTAGAGTAAGTTATGTTTACAATACACACAATAATTTATTGTTCACGTTCATAATAATGATATTGTTCTTTATAGGCGTGGCATTTTTGTGTATCAGATGGCAGATTGCCAAACGGAAATGTTCCAGCTAGAAACATGGTAATAATTACTACATATATCAAATTTTCATTCTGTTGATACGGCAAAACCTCTAATATATACGATTGAATCCTTAGTTCGAATTTGGCACTCATGATGTGAATGGCGGCCCTTTAAATTTCGAGCAAGGAACATGTGTTATCAACATTAAGTTAGACTGTCTATACCACAGTTTGCGTTCTCCAATTCAAATTCCTCTATATAATCTTCCCGATCCTATTACGTTAGATTTCTTTTTTGTGCGACGCGCGATCATAGAAAAATGTTTAACGTAAATAAAAAAAATTAGACAATGAAATGGTATTACAGAGGGCCTTATATAGAACACAAAGTTTCACGCATTTAATATATTGCTAATAAAAAAGGAAGTGGTATAGCGACTTAAATTTTTAATATATGATAGAACATAATTGTAAACAAAATCTAAACATATTTATGTCTATTTAAAATAAAATGAACTATGTCTATGATTATACTACCAAAAGTAATACATAAAATTAGATACAATATTTAACCCTTTTAGACTTATTTGACTTAACGTTGCAGTTAATTACTTTGGATTAGATTTTTAATTTTTTTCTTTTAAGTAGTTTATTATTAAATATTCTATTATTAATAATCGAAAGTTACAAATCAAAATTAAGATAAAATTTTAGAAAGTCATATTTTTAATATGACGATATTGTAAATAGCTGTCTTTTATCACTATTTCCAATTACAAATTATAATAGTCCATTTTTTGGTGTTTTATTATAATATAATAACTGAACTTAGAACGTAAAGACTTTATTTGGTTTTATCGTTGTGATTTTAATTCTAAATAACCTAAGCATGATGTATTCACCGATGGATTTTTTTGTCTGTTTTCTTTTTTTTTTCCTGAAGATTTTTTGTGTAGGTTTATTACGTAAATTACGAAACAGAATCTGTGCATAACTATTATGCATAATTGACACGATATTTAAATGGAGTCAGTAATTAAACCTTGCCTTGTAAAATGTAACATATACAAATAAAGAAGGTAATTTATTGATACAATTTTGTTTATGTTCTTCAATTTTAATTTATATTACAAGCTAAGAAACGACAAGCATTTCTAATTCTACGCGAAAAAAAGAAAATCCAAATTGAATATACATGAACAGAACATCAAAATGTTAAATTCCAAATACATTTTCACACACTCATTACTAGTAAATTAGATAAATTGATAATACACATTTGAATAATATAATAAACATGTATAAACCAGTGAAGTAATTAACAAAAAAATTCCATCGGTGTATACATAATACCGATGGGATAAAACGTGTTTCAATTTGAGTAATAAACATTACTATATAATTACAATTATTCGATTGATATTGGAAATATATTAATTATTCGCTGAAAAAAGTATTTTATAAAACAATTTCGTGTTACTTATAGAACGTTGCTTGATGTATATGAAGTAGTATGAATTTAATTATGGCGAAGCAAAAAAAAAATTTTCCATATGAACAGTTTAATTCACATTTCGCAAATTTGCCAAAATGTCATGTTATTATTAACTATCATGTTGTTTAATCAATAACAATTTTCTAGCTTTTTTTCATTTTTGTAGAAAGTTTTCAAGCTTTTTTTTTTCAAAATGAACAAAGTTTTAGAATAACTTGAACAAATAAAATTTTAAGGAGAAAAAAAAACTTGAACATAATACAAATATAAAGTGTGTTTAAACCAAATATCGAAGCATAAGCAGGAAATGTAACTTAGGATTAGAAGTGTAATGACAAATGTTGGAAATTATTGAAAAATTTACTCGAAATAAGATCAAGAGAATGGTATTCTGAAGATTTTGAAATAATTACAGTAGTTTTATGATGTTATACACTTGAGAAAAAGCTAAGCGAGAAATATGAAACTTTGGAATTTAATTCGAATATATATTATGAAATCGTGTTCGTAAATTATGTATTTAAAAGAAGAAATGATGTATTAGAACATTCCGCATAAGGCTATTTACATTTTACTTTGGAAGGATCCAAAACTAGATGTTGCTCTTAAGGATAAAATTACAATTGCACCCATAACTAATACTTTATCATAATGAACAATTTCAAAGTAATAATTTTGTATAAAAAATATCTTCTAAATTATTATAATACGATCGAGTGAAAGGGCCAATATTGTAAATAAATTCAAATGTAAAATTCTAAACTTAAATAATAGAAATGGATCTTTTATTTAAGGGATTGTTTACATACATTTCCACAAAATTTTAATCCATTATATTTCTCTTTGCAATTTATATGTTTTGCTCGTTCGACGGGGGGGTTATCTTGTGATTTCGAAAGTTCCTGACATTTGAAACATTCATTTAAGCATTTATGATTACATTCCAAAGATTTTCCGCATAAACTTTCACATCGAACATCATCAATAGATTCATAGCACTGAAAAATTATAAATACAAACATATTATTATAAATATAAGCAATTAATAATTAAGTAAACCAAATTTACTTACGTGAATGACTTTTGAATGTCCACAAATAGGAAATCGCTTTAGAACATATGTCATACATTTGACGATATCTTTATTATGATTTTGCCAACATGTAGCATTCTTTACCGTATGTCCACAGCCAGTTAAGATAATATCACCTATTGGAACATTGCAATTTCCGCAACGTTCAGAACACAGTCTTGGACATGGATGATTGCATGTTTCACGTAATCTTTTACAAGGGTTAAGACATTGAATTCCGATATGTTCAGGATCATCTGAATGACACTTATAAGTGCACCGGTGTCCACAGGGAAGTGGGATACGACATCTCTGAAACGAAATTAAATGTGAAAATTGAACATTACATAATGATAAATTTTAGAATGATGGCAAACACATAATCATACCTTCAGGCATCCACCATCCGGACTAACTTTTGCGAATTGTTCAGGATCATCAATAAGATTTTTGTAATTAGGATGTTTATTGCATACAATTGGAAAACCAAAACCAATTTGTGGGGGATCTCGCGATTGTAACATGTTAATCACCAGAGTCCACATATTCTTTGATTGTGCTGCCATTAATTTAGAATTACCAATAAGGTACATTCCTTCTCGAGCACGTGACAGTAGCACATTACTTCGGTTTTTACTTTTTAAAAATCCAATCGTATCACGTTTACCAAATCCAGCATAATTACGAACTAAAGAAATAATGACTATGTTTGCTTCTTCACCTTGGAAATTATCAACGGTTCTTAAGGTAACCTGTTGATGTAATGATTTTTCTAGAGCAACGCTTTTATTTTCATTACCCTTTCCATTATTATCAACTTTACCATCATCTTGTTCCATTTCAGCAAGACTTTGTGCATCTCTCTCATCAATGACTACAACAAATGATTCGTCTAAAGCTTCTTTGATTTTCATCATTTGCCCTAAATAAGGAGTAAGTACGGCTATATCTTCAGGTTTAGTATATCCATTCCTAACAAAATATTTTACCATCTCCACTACCATTTTGACTTCATATTGATTCACATGAGATTGCGTTGCAAAATCACCACCAGTATCATCTACTGGAAATTTATGATCGATAAAATATACATTATGTTGAGATCCGCGAATGTTCGAATACTTCGCAGTATTCTCACCATCAATTAAATCTGGATAAAGCGTGTATCTAACTAGATCAGAAATTTCATTTTTTCTCATGCGTCTCTGAGTTAAAAGTTGAACCTTCCCAATCTTTGCTGCTTTATCACCACTTACTAACCTTTCAAACAATGATTTATCCAATTGATAATTTTTTCCTTCTTTTGATTCCATGCTGAGAGAATAAGTAGCAATTCGTGGTCGGAGTTGATTTGGATCTCCAATCAATATGATATGTTGTGTTGCAGGGGTTAACGCACTTAGGATATGAGCTTCAAGTACTTCTCCGGCCTCTTCACATACGATAATTTTAGGACCAATAGATCTAATTAGGTTTTGAAATTTAGCTGCGCCATTTGTGGTCATACCAATAACATCACAATTTTTTAATGTTTGACGACGCCCTTCATCATAAAGTTTATTCAATTCCTCACGTTTTTGATCATGCTTATTTTTTAATTTGGATAATCTTTCTATAAATTTTTCATGAATTTTGTCACGCCAATAATCATGAAGTTTTTTCCTTTCGATTCTTGACATTTGCCAAATTGAATTTGTATTTAATAGCATATATAAAGGGCGATTTGTTTCAGGTACTTCATAATTCTTTATCCATCGTATAGTTTCATAGTCAATCTTTGGGTCATATCTATCCATTCTAAACTCTGACAAGGCTTCCTTTCTTCCTTCAATTATTATAAAATCCATACATCTTAACCATTTTTCAAATGGGTGTAAATTCTTCCATTTATCTTGAGCAGTGATAAATCCATTCGAATCCTCCTCATAATTAGCACCTAATACCCAAATAGGTAATTCATCATTATTGGGCACACGTTTAAACTTATCATAAAATGTTTTTTCATTCGTCATCAAGTGTGATTGTACATCTTGCCAACTCAACCACCTTCCGGATAAAGTATAGTTAATTCCATTAATTTCCTGTTCGAGACTTTCTAATGATTGAAGTAAACCTGGTATTAAACGGGATACTTCGTTGCTAAATTTACGGTGATTTCTTTTGCAAACTTCTTCTAAAGTATATTCTTCAATTCTTTCAGATTTTGTTCGAGTGCCTAATCTAACTATATTGGTTATCTTTACGTCAAGTAAATGCTGTGAATAAATAAGAAAGGAGAATTATAAATAAACACAAATCTAAAGAGTTATCAGGTGCAACAGGTTAAGTTTAATATTACGGTACCTCCAAGAATTGATCGAGGGCGTGATTAGTGAAGCAGATGGTGAGAATGGGACCAATATTTGCTACTCGATTTTCTTTTGCCAGTAACACTTTCATTATCTCTACACCGACTACTGTTTTTCCAGTACCTGGCGGACCTTCGATTAATGCAATCTCACGTGACAAAGCAGAGATTAATGCTTTCGCTAAAAAGTATAAAATCAGGTTAATACAAATTTCTGTAATCAAATTTAATTTGCTTTCTATATGAATTAATCACCTTGAGTTTGATCTAATCTACAATATTTTTTAACTTTTATTGCTACTTCATCATAGCTGCTTGGATTTTCCACATTTAATTTTAACGTTTGCTTTCTGTCACATATAACTGACAAATCAAAATGAAATCCAGGTGCCCTAGCGTACAATGGTGGTTTAACTATAACATCATGATTAAAACGATCAGAATTAGGGGCAAAATATTTTACAAAAGGAAGAGAAGAAGGCGTTGTGGATTTTAGAGTGTTCAGTACATGATTGTAAGCTTCGAAATAAACTCCGGTTGATTCAACCATAAATCTTTCTTCTAAAGAACTTTCTATCATCTTATAAGTAAAAGAAATTTCATCTAATGCAATAGGATAAATGGATGGATCGGAAAAACTGACGTCTATATCTGCGTAATCGGGATGATTGGCTAGAACTTTTTCATCTCTTGATACTATTACCCCAAAATAAATCAAATACTTCTCAGAACGAGATGTATTATCACCGGCGGTAGTACTTTTCTTTTTTCGTTTTGCATCTGGATTTGGCAATAGCAGGGTAATTAAACTACCATTTAGCAATCTTCGACTCTTTTCCCAATATGCTTTCCTATCGTGATATGAACCGCGAACTTTAGGAGGCGTGAACCTTAAAGTGTATGCAAATCCTTTCTTCTTGTTACAAGTAATGTTAACAAATTCAACTTCAGTATATACATGTAGATCAGCATATTCATTTCTGATTTTCTTCAATCCTTTATAAAAATTACTCTTATTGGAAGAATTAGAAGAATTATTCAACTCCTGTGATAATATGTATATGAAGCTTTGTATGCTTCCACGAATAGGAAACAGCATGTCTTCTCTTAATAAACGAAATTGTGAATCAAGTAATCTTTCGGCACCATTTAAAAAATGTGGCGCATTAGGAATGCAAAAAGGTAAAAATGGTTCACGAACACACAAAACTTCATCTTTTGTAGGAATGACTGAAATATTTGAAATTTCTGCAAAATCATTATCATGTCTTTTGCCATATTCTGATAATTCGCCAGGAGGATCATAAGACCTTTCTGCCTCGGCCTTTCTGGCTAATTTTCCATAATGTGATGAAATTGTACTTGCAATTTGGTGATGTTCGCTAACATATCCATAATTTAGCAAATTATCCATAATTTCTTTCTTTCTCTCAAAGAAATCTGTTGTAATATATTGATATCGTTGTTGCTTTTTTGTTTGCGCTTCCTTTATTTACGTTCGAAATATTTTAAAACATTTTTTTTTTTTTTTTTTTAAAAAAAAAAAAAAGATTTTGTTAGGTTATTTATTTATATGTTAAAAAAAATAAATCCAAATTTCCATTTTTGTGAACAATTACTAGGACTATCATATTAGTAAAGTTAGAACTATGCATATTTTCACAGGCATTGCATTGGTATGATACATACATAATTAATTATCTATCGTCGAATTCTTTCCATCTTTTTTTGATAAAAAAAATGGAAATCCTTCGAAATTTAGCCTTACTAAAAAGTTTTTATTTTATTTTATTTTTTTTTAAATCTTTAATAAAAGACGATTTCTGTTTTTTAAATTTTTTGTACGCCCTTCAACATACGTCGTACATGATATGTGATACACACAGCTATTTCAATCGAACTTTAATTGCATATTTAGTTGATCGTATTTTTTACATATTTCAAATTAACACACCTTCATTAAGAGTATTAAAAGACGGCGGAAAACCGGAAGCACGTTGATTACGAAGTCGGGTAACACCTTTTTTTTGTGCTCAGCCCTTAAGTAAATTAGGTTCCCTTTATGCAAGAACCCTGACACCTTTACCGATTAAAGTTCATACAATAATGTTACACAAATGACAGAACTTTCATCAATCACGATTAAATGGCAACCACGTTCATAATAATAAATGGCAATGGAATATTTGCCAGAACTAGTATCTATCGTATAAAATAATTTCAAGATGACCTCAAGACACTTCACCCAAGCGTTTTTGTTTTTGGTTAATCGATCCTCCTATACTTTGGGAAGTCCCCTTTACTATTACTGTACATAAAGGACACCTTTATAATTTCCTTGATACTGTTACATTTCGCCCGGAAACTCGATAATTTTGTATGAAAAGCGTTTTCGATATTTGCAGTTAGTCCTTTGAAGATCATTTTTCCAGTGCCAGGTTGTCACGGTGCCAGTATGACAAAATGGCAGGATGCCAGGCTGTCCTAATAATTATATTTTTCATAAATACGAGCAGGAAATCCTTAAACAACTCAACATTCCACGCTCGCCCTTCTTGTATTTGTATACATACACCTTGAAAAACCTTCCTTTAAACCCTTCGCGATATTTTTCGCTTTCGCCGCTTTAACATTTTAATTATATTATTGTAAATTCGTTTATTTTTTTAATTTCCGATTTTCTTAGTATTTTTATTACACAATTTTTCGTAATTGCGCAGTTTTAATAAATTAGAACTTTATTTATTGGCATTTTTATATTGACATTGCGAAAGTGTAGAGCGACGACGTTGAGGCCACACAAGTCCGGAGCGTTGAAAACACAGCCCATTTTAAATTCACGTGATAAAGTAATTCGTAAGGACAAATTAATCCTAGACTCCGGACTAAATTTACGTCAACAATACTCATTTTACTATGAAATTTGGTCACTATTTATAAATAATTTATCCAATGAGATGGAAATTAAATCTATTGCTTTTCCAAATATCTCGCTCATATAATCAGCGATCATTGGAAGATTTTTTCCTTTGTTTATTGATGTATCGGTCGAAACGTCTAAATCATCGACCAAATTAACCAAATACTGTTCCATTTTATGCGCCAATCTTTAATAAATTAGGATAATTAAATGACGGTTTCTTAAGAGAAGGTGGATTGAACCTAATTCCCAATTCACGTGGATTTGCCTTCCTCTTAAAAGATAAAAGTACGTATTGTTGATGTATTTATAAATTCTTAATGTAAGCAGAAGGTTTTTATTGAAGAAAAATGAAAGTAATGTAGACGCTAAATTTATTTAATAATAACAAATTAATCAGTGTTACCTCACGTCAGCACTTTACACTTTCACAATGTCAATATATAAACTAAATAAATGCACAATTATGAAATAATGAATAATAAATAATATGAATAATCAGAAATTAAAAAAATAAACGAGGTTACAAATATAAAATTAAAATGTTAAATTGGCGAAAGCGAAATATCGTGAAGTGTATGTATGCAAAATACAAGGGCGCGCTTAGGATTTCCGGCTTATTTCTATAATTATTAGGACAGCCTTGTATCCTGCCATTTTGTAATGATCTTCAAATAGAGTTTCAGGCTAAATTATATTCAATGTAACATTTAGATTGAGTACCAAAAGTTAAATATTTACGAATGTATAAATGACTCGCAACATCCTTTGAGAAAACGTTGGTTCAAACTATAGATGAGGGACGAAACCCCTTAATAACAGTCGAAACTTAGACGAAACTATATTAAAATCATAATAAGGGATACGACGAAACCCATTCGATACGACGAAAGCCGAAACTGTCGAAACTATATTAAAAACATAGAAAAGGGTATGACGAAATTATTTTGAGGAGGTTTCGGCAGGCATCTATAGTTCAAACGCATTGAATAAAGATAATCCGTGCATTTGATGCACCGAATGCATACTGTGCTCTTAAAATAAATTATTAATTTAAATCATGCATTTCTATTGGTGCACTAAAAAATTAATTTAATTAAACTGTGCACAAAACCCTTTGTTGTTTGAGACATTATGAATCAAGTGACCACTGAAAATATTCGAATAAAAGTTGTGTGTTCAAGTTTTCATAATCAAAATACATTCTTTTTCTTTTTTCAAGATTTAAAGTTGACAATGTATTCCACGACGTTTTTACGAAATGTTTAACCTATTCTTAATAAGAATCAAGGTTAAATTTAAATTATGTTGAGCGTCAGAGGTGTCATTTTTGCCACATCGTCCTAATAAATATATTAAAGTAAAAATAATTTTATTATTTTTATCCGCCTTAGCAAAAATCATATGAAGTTATCTAAAACTCTCAAACTTATGATAACGTTACTTTATTTTACCTATTTAATTCCATTCCATATTAATGAAGCTAAAACTAAAATTTCAAGAAATGGATAGTTTATTAATTAATAAATTTTGAACTAAAATTTCATTAACGATTATATTTTAAAAGAAGAAATTGGATAAAACGATTTAGGATTGCACGTACAAAATTCTGAAATTAAAAAAAAATGAAATGAAATGAAACGAAAAATTTAAAAAGTAAAAAAAGAAAAGAAAAGGATAGAAAAGAAAAAAATTATAGAACATAAAATTTAATATCATATGAAAAATAACGAATGTGCCACATAAAGGATCAATTTCATTACAACTACTTAGATATTTAGATATTTTCATTAGGAGTATGGGTAATGGTTGTGTCGTTGCAGAATTATTGAAATATTAATTTTGATTTTGGCAATTTTTTGTAAATGAGCGACTAAAATATGTTTGTAAAGGGGGATATATTCACGACAACTTTCTATCATGAGGTAGCTTGACGATTACGCGATTATACTTGGCATTATAAGGATTTCTTTTTTTAAAAAAATATGAGCTTATTCATACAAAAGAAATCACCTTTTCAACACGCAAATTTAAGGACCATTTAAATACTTATCATCAACTAATAAGGTCTATAAAGTTCATTGAAAAAAATCGAATAGTATATTATTATTGTTCATAAGACAACAAAGGTACTGCACAGTACATCCATAAGAATTTAATTCCGAAATAAACAAAAATGATCAAAATTTAATCATAATGAATTATACGCGTTCGTTTTGTTTTTTGAGGATGTAAAGCATAAATCAAGTACTTATGAGAATTATATGCTTAGCCATTTGGCTTGAAATTTATACAAGGAAATTATTTATTTCTTTATTTCTTCAAAAATTGATTTTCTTTTATGTAATAAAATTGGTCAATTCTCATAATTATGATTTACTGATTTAGTTATAAATATTATTGTTATTTTTTTTTACTTTTACCTTATTATCTATAATAATAGGAGGCTGATCTAATAATAAACTATCTCATTTATTGTAGTATTTAAAGCTTGTTTTGTAAACTTCATGTATCTACTTCAAGATTTTTTTGTTTTTATAGTTTGTGAATGTAATTTTTAAAAATGTGATTCACATGACTTTTTATTTTGTTTGTTTTAAAGAGGTTAAATGATAATTCATTTACAAAGTGATTGCAGTACTATTTGTATTGTTATTTAGTTAGTTTTTTTGTTATACTGTAAATTAGCCTAATAATTTTTAAAATTACTTTGTGGTATTTTCATTTGTTTTAAGACTTTCTGTTTGTTTAATTAATCTAATCCTTCATCATCTCACTCTTTTAAAAGTTTGCAAAGAATAAAAATAGGTATTGAAATTCTTTATAAATTAACCTTAAGATTTTTTTGCCCTAAAATTTATTCAAGATGCTTTAATTTTTCCTTCTAATATTCATTTAAAATGAAAACCAATAAGGTTTTCTTCATTGAAACTAATCAGAACATTAAATATTAGATTGCAAGTACAACCTGAACTTGTTATAATGAACTATTGATATAATAATCATTTAATGAATTTTCGTTTAAATGATTTTTTTAAATTTTTTTGTTCTATATTAACATTATATATAGTTTATGCTATATAGTATTAGTAATAGTCATTCTAAAAAGGAAGAAATAGGTATAAATTTGAATAGCTTCTGGAATTATGAGACTATTTTTATATATTAATATTGATATCAATTTCAATTTCAATATCTTAGTTATATATCTTTTCTGAAGAAGTTACGTATATAGATTCTGATTATATTATTGATCAAAAAGATGCCATCAATTTTTTTCAGTTTCACAAAATTAGCATCTTTATCAATGGTTATTATAGCATATTACTACAAATTTTTAATTTTAATTGAAAATTTGACAATATTTTTAAAACAAAAAAATAATTTTCTGATCTTTAATTCAATTGCATCTAAGGAATCTCTGTAATCATAATCAATTGAATAGGAAAATAAGTATTATTTTTTTATTTCAATAGGTAAAAATATAATATTATCTGCATTAAGAATATTAACAGTATAGAAAAGATCTTGTTTTTTTTGTTAATAAAGGAACTTTATGATTATTTAAAACAGATTGATAGGATGTATATTCTAGATAACTTCTGTAAAAGAATTGTATTGCATACAATATAGATTCGTTAGTTCATTGACCTTCATTTGAAGAATAGTACTTTAGTAATTTTCAATAAAAAAAAGGCAAAAAAATGTTGCAATAATTTGATTTTATCTTTAAAAATGATATGAAATATGTTAAAAATAATTTTTAAAGCATTATATAATTTATCAACATTTATAGTATCTTTTTCGTTATTATCTGATGGTAGAAAAATCTCTTTTTGCTTTTTTTTATTAAAGTTAAAAGAACTTTTATTTGAAGTAAAGATGATCACTGCAATTAAAAAAATGCATAATTAAATTGCAACTTGTAACGTAATTAAATTTTCTATAGTGTAATTAAGTTAAAATTTGAAAATAATTATGGAAATCATCTTTAATTTGAATGTTAATCAACTTTTATATTATTTTCTATTAGCAAAATATTTACTAGAATACTGAAAAAAATCTCTGGTTCTTTAGTTTGCATTGTATTAAATTTCTTTATTCAGATTCTTTCAAGATTACTACCTTTTAAAATTGAAATATTTTGATTACTATCTTTTAAAATTGACATATTTTAGTTATTACCTTTTAGAATTAATGTATTAGCATCAGAAAATTTAATAGGTATAAAGTTGTATAATCTTATATCTTGTAAGTTTTATGTAAAGTTACAGGATCATTGAAACTTTACAAAACATAATATTCTATTACCTTATAAGATAAAAATACTTTAAAACTTTATGAAATAAAATACTCCATCATCTTACAAGATGATATACTTTAAAATCTTACATTTTATAAAGTTTATAATACATAATAATTTAAAAGAATACAATGAATAATAATTTAAAAGTTTACAATACATAATTATTCAAAAGTTTACGATATATAATAATTTAAAAGATTATGATGTATAATAATTTGAAGGTTTACAATACATAATAATTCAAAAGATTATGATACATAATAATTTAAAGTTTATGATATATAATAATTTGAAAGGTTACAATTTGTAATAATTTGAAGATTTATGACATGTAATAATTTAAAAAGTTATAATATATATAATTTGAAGGTTTTATAATACGTAATAATTTGAAGAGTTATAATACATAATACTTTAAATTTTTTCAAAAATAACTTATAAAATATATATTTTGTAATTATTAAATGTTTATTATTTATTAAAAAAAAATAAAAATAAAATAAATTTATAAAAAAATAAAAAAAAATTAAAATAAAAAATTCTATAATTTTTAACTCTTAATTTTTTTACAATATTTTTTTAATATTAAAATTATTAAAATGTATTTTAATTAATATAAACAAAGAAACATTAAAGTTTAAATAGATTTCTTACCTTTCTTATCATTAATAATTAAATTATTATTATTTTATTTTCTAATATATAATAAATTAAATTAAAAATAAATTATACTGTAGATTAAATAATAAAATTTTATATTACCTAAATTTTTATAAAAATTATTTGTAGCAGTATCATTATCAACAATGACTTTATTTTCAATAATAGCTATATTATGATATTGATTATATAAATAAAGCAAATAAAA